TAATTAACTCATATGTCCCATTTTAAGTTTTTACCTTTCAACCAAGGGAAACGTGCATTTCTAAGACAACAATATTTTTTAGTAAAATCAGAAGAAATTATCCTACAGAAAAATTGTATTGTTCGGAAACAAATTTTGTAGTAGGAACAAATTTTTAGGAAATATTTCCTCCTTTTCCTTTTTTAAGGAAATATGGTTTTTCGACTTCAAAAAAGGAGAGGGCTCTCATTTCATCGTGTATAATTTTAATTTCAGGCATGCGGAAGGGGTTACTTCAAATGGCACTTAATTCTTCAATTTGGCACAAAGTGCCAAAATGGCACTTTTGAAAAATAGTAGTTTTTCAATAATTTTTTTTTTTAAATCCTTTGCGTGTACTTATTTTTTTCAACTAAAGTTTTCTGATTTCTAATGGTGTATACAACTGGTTTATCTTACTTTGGCATAGGACTTTTCTGTTAGGAATGTGTTTCTAATTTTAATGCTAAATAGGAAGTATTAAAAAGAATGGCACCTTTATGGCACTTTAATTTTCCCAATATGGCATTTCATAGCTAGTTGGCAGCCCTAATTAAGATACACAAAAAGTTTTTATAAAAGTAATAATAATAATAGATTGGCGCTTACACATATGTTAGTGTTTGGCCGAGAGCTTCTCCTCCGATTTGGGGCGTGCGCCTTGATGTTGTGACACAAAGCGGAGGGACCTACAGTTTAACGCCGACTCCCAACGGCGATTGTTTTTCATGGCAGAGATACACTCGGAGGGTTGCCATTGCCTGCCGAGGGACGACCGCTGTTAAGAAAAAACCTTTTTCCATATTTTTTGCGATGTTTCTTTGACCAGGGCTTGAACCCAGGTGCTGATGAGTGAACACGCGCACTGCTTACCACTGCACCACAGCGGTCGTAATACAGAGCGTAATACGTTCAGAAAAAAACCCTGGATCACAAATTAGTGTTTTTTTTAGTTCTACGAATGTCTCTATCCATTCCCCACGTAGAATAATAGCAAATAGGGAAAATGAAAGCTAACAAAACCCTGCAGAATCCGTATATACATCACTTTTCGATAGGTTGGATATTTCCTGACAAATAAAATTCTCCATGTGCACCTTTTCTGTTAATATTTTTATTACTTATTTATTTCTTACTTATACATCGATTTTCTTCACTGGTAGCCTCATTATTTGTAGAGAAACAGGCATTCATACAAAATACAAAATGTACAAAAAAAAAACGTTATTTTTTTATTTTTCCCCTGTTAAAGTTTGAACTTGTTACCATTTTTTCATAAAAAAACAAAAACAAAAAATCTGGAGTGATTTATTAATTTCTTAGAAACTACCAGGCCTATCGAAAATTGGTGTATATAAGGTTTATGGAAAATTCTGTTGTCTTTTATTTGCCGTACCTCGTATTACGATTGTTAGATCGGTTCGTAAGATAAACGTAATTAAATGGAACTATTTTTTGTTTTAAGGTGAATAACGGTAAGTTGAAAACATCTCGAAAACTTATCCATAAAACAAAAAATTAACTCGATTCAGCGGGCGATTCTACATACGAATTGCATAGTGGCATCCATTGAACATTTTTGCTTTAAACCAGTGGAATTATCAAAAATCAACGCGATTTTTCAGGGAATTCAAACTTGCACTTTATTCCACTAAAATTTAATGGGCCATACAACTGCATACTAAAAAAATCTAAAAAATCTGAAAAAAAGTTGAAATTTTAAATGCAATATTGCAGAATTTTTATAATTTTTGCACAAAGTTTGAAATATGGTTTTTGTTAGATAATGAGCTATACTTTTATAAGAAAAAAAATAAATATTAAATAAACGAAAGAAAAATAGGAAAAACTTGTTAAAATATCGTGTCCCTATTTATTTTTCCACCACGTATGTATATTTGTGCATTGGGTATAAAAAGTAAACAACCGAACACCACATTTGCGCCCGAATGTTCAACACTCGATATGTCGCTAGCAATGACTCGTTCTTTGTAGCGATGAATCAAATACCCATTTCAAAACATTACAAGCGGTTAGTCGTTGAAAATCGCCGGTGGTAACGAGTGCGCATTGAGAAAATTAAAAACCAAAAAACTTCCATCCAGTGTAAATTGATTTAAAAATATAATAAAACAAATATGTACATAAACATATACTAAGTATATAAATTAGTGTACGAAATAATAGAATGTTTATTTAAAAACACAAACATTTTTCAATACAAACATATGTATATGTATGTACATATGTATCTTTTTGTATACATAATATGTGTACAAATATTTGAAAATTCTCCAAACTGTGCATTACCAAATTTTAGTATAACAAAAACAAAAAATACTAAATTAATTAGCATAAAAAAATTCTAAAGTTACGCGTTAAAATAAATGTCAAGCGGTTCAATGACAGTGAAAGGTTTCAAAATGAACATGACTAAATATTTTTCTGAATAAAATTTTTTTATTTTTTTAAATTTGCTACGTAAATAAAATTAAACAATAAGTGCCGAGGCTAATTACATTTATTTATTGAAAGTTATGTAAATAAGTATATATGTGCATACATACATATATGAATACACGTATACATGCGTACATACATCACGACTTACATTGTAGGCGTTCCTTGAAATTAAAAACAGCCTAAGTCCTTAATTAAAATTTATTCCGTTCAAAATACTGACCTTCACATTTGCCAGCTCGAATTCGCTTTCAATATTCTATGTTTTTTTTTTTTAATTAATGAAATGCAGCTAAAAAAAATTCTTGACTCAAATGCTTTCATGAAATCGCCTCAGACAAGCTATAAACATATACATATGTACATATGTATGTATTTACTTACATGTGGGTATATTAGACCATACCACCGTACAAGCAAACAAAAAAAAAGTTCGCCTTACACCCCTGAGACTAAATAATTTTTGCAATGCGATTTCGAAAAAAATGTATTTTTCCGGCAAATGAATTTCATTAAAAATAGTTCGACTGGAATAATAATGTAAATAATTTGAATTATAAAAAATTTTAAGAAAAAATGAGCTGTCGTGTTTACGCAAAAAGTGAATGGGTGCTTGTAAAGTAAGTGCACAACAATTGCCAAGAGAACCCTTTGTGCGTTCCGTTCATTTTTCAAGCGCAGGTTGGATTGTGCAGAACGATCTCGTTCATTGCTCAGTTAAAAAATACCTAAAATAATAAGTGAAAATCCCCTAGTTCAATATCGTAATAGTGGCAGCATTGCGTGTTTTTCAGCAGACACGGTTTATTTCAGAAATTTGAAGTGAGACTACCTTCTAAAGTTATTGCAACATGTGGAGTAATAAAAAAAATCCTTCTTAGCAAAAGTTTAATGATTTCTGACGAGCTTAGGGTGGCACGCTAGGGTGTTAAGAACTGAGATCTCAAGCTAAATTCTAGAGCGGAGTACTTGACGTCAAGGAACTATTGAATGAAAAAATTGTCTCCTTGAGACAAAAACATCATTATATGTATAATACACACTTTAGGATTCTACTGTAAATGGCGAATATATAACAAAAAATTACAAAATGAGAACTTTTCTAGTACGCTCTAATGTACATACAAACGTATTCATACATATTTATTGAAATACGAGTACATATATGCACACACATCATATATACTTGCAAGCTAAACTGTCCCGTCCCGGCATCGTTGAGTGTTCATTAAAAAGAAAATATATTGCAAATCAGTTCGATGTATTACGCGCGTGCACGCGAGAAAAGTAACAAGTGCTTACAAAAAATAAAAACCATATTATTAGTGCAAGTTTGATAAATCGTTAATTGTTTTAGAAAACAAATATGTTTTTAATTTCGCTCTCTAGATATAAATTTATGGAAATGTGCGGTTGTTAAGTTGTATATTTTGTGATAGAATTGTTGGTAAAAAACAAACCATTTTTTCAGAGTACATATTTTGAATTGTAGAGAAATTTTAAAGAATTCATAAAGATTTCATACGATTCTTTGCCGAATTTTCTAAATCAAAGTAAACTGTGAACACTTCGATTCTTTTGCGAAATTTCGGAAGAATATCGATAAAGCAACGAAAATAATGCTGCTATGTCAAGAATTTCTCACAGAATTTTTTTCAGAATTTTCTTTATTTTTCTTACAGAAATTTTTTTACGAGTTCCTGACAACCACTTCATAAATATAATTTTCTTTGAAGATTCGTAAAAAAACGTTGCAGAAATAAGATGCTCCTAAAGATTTCGTTTAGGTTTCGGGAGCTTTGGTTTGCAGGGTAGCTACTATACAAAGTTCTGAATTAGTTGCTCTCAATTATTAAGTTACTCATTTGTGTTTTATCTGTACCGAAAATGCGTGTGTTTCCCATTGTGACAAATTGACTGTGGATGATAGCGTTATCGTTGAACATACCAAATATATACATGCATACATATTTACAGTGCAATTAGTGAACTACATATGTATGTGCATACAGTGTTCCAAACAAGTGTTCACATTTTGATTTTTTTACATTACATTTACATTTTTTTTTATTTTCAATTAGGATGTTCCCAAGGGTGTCGTAATGTAGCGTTGTTGTATGCCGTAAATTTTTAACGGTTAAATAAAGATGTAGATATTTTAAAAGCACGATCAACTATTTGTTATGGAATTTTACGAGCCCTCTCTCCAGCCGTCTGACAAGTCGCGTGAAATTTGTAAAAACTGGCGTTGATTTTTCGAATTTTTTTCTCGAACGGTCTTGCGTATTTTATTCCAAAAGCCGTCAGAAAAAAAAAATTAACGCGATTTTTTAGCCGCTGGAAATTTGCACTTTACACTTTACACTTGCAGATCTAAAAATTATATTTTTATGAAAATTTGTTGAATTTTTCTAAATTTTGTATAAAGTTTGAAACCTTGATTTCTATGGTTTTGGATAAAGCATGAACAAAATTTCTATAAGAAATAAAACAATTTTAACGCGAAAATATTGTGAATAATTAAAAAAAAACATGTGAACACTTTTTTGGATCACTGTATTTGCTTACATACATATATATAGACAGTAAATTGAGTGATTGTGTTAGATAAGGCTTGTTTTCCAGAAAATGGGTCAAAGTTCGGCACATGCACGACAGTTATTTGATAACTTTATAACTGAAGCTTTCGAGGATGTGAGATGGACAACACAAACCAAATTTGGCAAGAGATGAAAGAAGAAAATCGTTCAAAAATTCATCGAGAATACTAAAAGTCCACAAAGTTATGTCATTGAACTAATTTATCAAGAGTTTGTTTGTGCTTACCGGTATCGCTTTATGCAAAGTTAAACACAAAAATGGCTTAACCGCGAAACCATGCAGGTATCGGCAAAAGGTCTTGATACATTAAAACTATCGGCGGTTAAGTATCGAGGCGCAAGGTCTTAAATCGATATGAAAATGCCACCAGAATAGAGGTTCCAGCAGCTAAGCATACCTCAAGAATTTGTACAGAGAGAAAATAAGTTAAAAAACGTGTACACCGTGCGACAAAAGCCAAAAAATTTTAAAACACACGAAACAATCAATATGCTCGCCAAATATAGTCCAACTGCGTTTTTAGTTTTTTCTCTCGTTTGAAAAAAAGTCCTGCAGGCGGATTCCAACGATCGCTATCGCTAATTTTGATCGCCAAAAATCTCCAAAAGAATATCAGGCGCGCCTAACGATATGCAACAGCTAGTTACGTATATGCTCCCCATACTGCCATATTTGGATAATTCCATATTGTATCTGTTACATTTCCATGTGGTATACTTTCAGGACCCACTGCTTTTCGTTTAGAGAATTTCGGCGATGAAAACTTACCGCCCTATTCCCACACCACTGACAAAATTCATCATATGACTATTGTCACAATTACTGCGCCTAAAACACAATATAAACATTGTTTCGCCGTTGTCACTTACTCAGTAGGTTATAACAATAAAACTGACAATTGTCATACGACAGCTTAAAATAAATTCGTGGCATAGTATTAGGCGCAGTAGTAAAGGCAATAGTCAGCCGCTGAGTTTTGTCAGTGGTGTGGGAATAGGGCGCTTAGCTTAGCGATTGTCAGAACTCCACTGCTGACGTCAGCCAGAAATACTAAAAAGGCATTTTTACCATTTTTGGCCCTTTGTTTCGCGAATATATTATTTTTCGAGTGTGTAAAATTGTAATAATAGTAATAGTAGTAGTAATAAATACTTTAATTTCTTCAACGCCGAACAGCAGCGCTGTAGTTATTCAAAATAATGGAATCGCCACAAAATATATAATTACTAATTTGGATTTTTTCTGTAAGAGGGTGCTTTAGTTTTATACATACATATGTACATATTTACGTATGAATAAATAGTGCGAGGTTTAGAATTTTGAGACTAAATATTGGTCCGCCGCTGTGTTGAATTTTGCAAAGTTTATTCACTTTATCTTTCTATCAATTTGTTTTGTTTCTATAATTTTTGATCGTAGTTACGAGCCGGGTGAGATGGAATGTTTCATATCGGTTTGAAACTCTACCTCTAAACCTTCCACTAAACTACTGCTTATCACATGTGCATACATACATACATACCTAAGTATACACCCCGTGTCATAATTATAAGCACACCACAGATTGATAAGTTTTAACTATGTATTTTTTGTTATTTAATGTTAATTATATTTTGTTTTTATAAAAATATATGTAGTTTATTGTTTAACAAAAATCGAAAAAATCCAAAACTTCAAATTTCAAGCTTTCTAATTAAATTTTTTAGGATGACTTTGAGTACGCAGTTTTGCAGCCCATTTAATTTTAGTGTAATACAGCGCTAGCTTAACAGTAGGAGATCCGACAAGGGCACGACCTTCACCTATCTGTTTAATGGATGAAATCTACTTCGTACGAAATTTAACGTGCTAGGAAATATTTTGCGAGTGGGTTGGCTAAAAAATCGTGGCCAGGATATTTTTAATTAAATGTTCAAAAAATAAGTTTTCTTTTTAATTTTGCACTCTTTTTTATTTAATGGACAAATTACATTTATACTAATTACTTACTTAATTACTAGTATTACCAACCTGCTCATACCTGCCAACCCGATAGGTGGGCCAGGAGAATATAGAGAACCCAACGTTTTCACATTCCATAGGCTTAATACTTTCGATTGTTATATAATTTGTTCATTAAACAAATGAGAACAAAATTAAAAAAAATATTAATAATTTTTGCATATTTAATTAAAAATATCCTGGCCAGAATTTTTTCTGCCAACCCACTCGCAAAACATTTCTTTAAACGTTAAATTTCATACAAAATAGATTTAATCGTGCCCTTGTCGGATCTTAGACTATAAAGTAGCTTTTGAATTTTGGGAATTTTTGTTTGTGACGGTGTTGTGCATTTCCTTTCATATAAAGAAAATGTCAAACATACTTTAAGCGGAAGAAAATGCACAACATCGTCTGAAAAAGATTAATAAAAATCAGCGTTAATTTCTAGCTGCTTCGAACTTGAAAACAAAACTGCATACTCAAAATCTTTCCAAAGAAATCGAATTGAAAAGTTCGAAATTTTTACGAAAATTTGTTGATTTTTATATATTGCACAAAGTTTGAATCTATTTTTATACGGTGATTGCGAAATAATAAATTATACAATAACTAACTAATTCAAATATTTAACATAAAAATATATAAATTTTTAAAACTTGCCAATATGTGCTGTGCTTATAATTATGACGCGGGGTGTGCAAGTATCGAGGAAAAAGTATCTGTATTTCTTCTTGGAGTCATATTCAACATACTTGTTGTAAATATGTGTACTTGACAAGTTGTATTCTAAAACGCTTATCAACGCTCCTTCAGTGTCGGACAATCTGTCGTTGCAGGTTTTATTATGTTTAAAGTAGTGTTAACCGAAAATATGTTTGATAAGGCTCTTTTAATTTCGTTGTTTTCTTTCTCTCTGCGTTATTTTAGATAATTACATACCTAACTAAGCAGTGTCAAGAAAGTGGACTTCTCAATTGCACGCTTTAGTTTTGAGCTAGTCGTCGGAGGAACGCGATCGATAGATTGAATTAGGGGATCCCTAAATCAAGTGCGGAAACTAGTCATACATACATATGCATACTATATGCATACATATATTGCATATCATTTGAGACAAGCTGGACATCTACAAACACAATGAAGATTGAGTGGGCACCGGTGCATGTACCGCCTAGACGTCGAAAACAAACCCTTGCTGCGGGCCTATATGTAGTCATATTTATGGCTTTGCCATTTATATCACTCATAGTTACTTCTTTACTGCTGGTAAGTTTCTAAAGAGAAAGGATCCATTTTTATTAAAGTACAAACTGGAAATGTCAATATGGAATCAGCGATAGAGAAACTGAATCAATCAAATTCTCTCCTTTACTTAGCTTCCAAAAATATGTATATTGTAGTTTTTATGTAACATATTTATTATAGCTTTTGCAGACTCAGAAAAATGTTATTTCTTTTGCAACTCGCTGAGGTGAATATTTCAGTGCTGCACTCGTCAATAGCGACTAGTCGTACGACACGGGTCAATGCTGAGCGTAATGTTTTCAGGAGCTATAAAGGCGATCATAATGATTCTTCTTCAGACACTGGTTTTCCAGAGCAGCTGACTGGAGCTAGTTCTGACTTAGGCTGAAGCTGTACAAGTATAAATAAGCCAAAAAATGGCTGGATCTACTGCACTGATTAGATCTGTTTGCGGGTTTCAAACCTCACTCAGCGGGTTGATAAGTACAGTTGGTTTTATACAATCCACATAATTAATCGGGGTCGTCATCCCAGAAGTGCTGGGCTCCGCAGACGGCCAGCTAGTCTAAATTTCTCTTAATTTTTAGTTCCTTTATGTTTGCAAGGATTTAGTCCGTAGAATTTGCAATAATTCTTTTCCTTAAACTTTTTCGTACAATATACTTTTAGGAGGCAAGAAACTTCATTATTTCATTTTCAAATTTTTTCAAAATTTTATTTTTGATGCAGAAATACATCTAAATGCTCTAGGAACATTCCTGCGTCAAAAGGAAGATTAAAAAAAAAAAAAAATCGCTTACGTCTTTTTGGCGGTTAGGGCTTAATATATCAGTTCATCCATTCGATAACTTACATGAAAATCTGAATTTTTATATTAAAACTTACTTTTTTCTTTTTAATAATTTTGCTACATATTTATATTTATGTACATATGTATATTTCGAATTACTATTATCTATTTGCCTTCCTAACCACTTACATAGTATTATGGCAATTTACTTTGGAGGCTGCTGGTACTGGCATACCTAACCTATATTTATTATGATCACACGAGAAACTATAGCGACATTCATGGCAACGGGTACGTTCTACATTACTTATGTATATTCGGAGAATTTACAATCATTATTTTACGCCAACTTTTTTTTACAGCTGGAAAATTTTCCGAAATAATTGCATTTGGCGTCACTTCCGTGACTACTTTCCCATTGAGCTTGTGAAAACAGTTGATTTGAGTCCTGATCGTAATTATATTTTAGCAAGTTTTCCACATGGCATAATCGGGTGAGTTAGCAAGCAAGCCAGCCATAAAATTCTTGTTTCATCTAATCTTATTTGTATTTTCTCTTTGCATACCCGCCAGAACTGGCATCTCGTGCAATATGAGCAGCGATATTCGAAAATGGTTGGAGTTATTTCCCGGCATTCGACCCAAAATTGCCACATTAGATATGCATTTCTATACACCCATTTTACGTGAATTGCTTCGCTTTTGGGGACTGGTGTCGGTATCCAAGGAATCTTTAATGTATTACTTAACGAGATCGAATCATCCAAAACATGCCGAAAATCTCGATGGTTTTACATCGAACGCTGTTGCCATATTGGTTGGCGGTGCCCAAGAGGCATTGGACTCACATCCCGGTCGTTACATAATAACATTGAAACGGCGCAAAGGTTTTGTGAAATTGGCCATACGCACTGGGTAAGTTACGAGTACATACATATGTAGCTTTTTGCGTTATAAATCAAATAATTATTTGTGTTTTTGTTGTGTTGTACTTGAGTGCTTGAATATTTTACAATTGCTGGCGATAAGAGTGATTATAAAATGCGGTTGATTTGGTTGCCTATAAAAAATGGTGGATACCCGCTAAATACCTAAAAATGAGATAACTGCATGCCATTTTGTGTTTTGTTTATTTTTGCATTTATTTTTAGCATTTATACATACACACAAACGTTGAGTGGTATTCTCAATCAACTTCAGTTCAACTCTTCGTAAGTGAACACTCTTATACATAAATGGTTAGATTTAAGCTGAAAAAGAATACTAAAATGCATTTTCTCGACGTCTGCTGAAATATTCTATACCAGTGCTCGTCAAACTTTTGAGTGTGACGGACCGGCTGCAGTTTTTCTATTACGTCGGGGACCGGTACCTTTTTTTTTATTGATTATTTTTCGTTTACGATCATCTCATATATGTATTAAAATTTGTTTAAATGAATTTCTTTATTAGCCGGGTGTCTATATACATATGACCTTTTACCATTTAATGATAGCAGATATTAGCGATTTTTTATGAATGTTTAACAAATTTAAGTTGTTTTTATTATACAAGTTGTATATAGCCTCATTAAACAGTAATATAAAACATCACAAATGTAATAACTGTAAAGTTATAATAATAAGACATATAATAAGCACGTCAAGTTTTATTAAAATTATATTAATGCTATTGGAAGGTGTCATTCCTTGTTAATTTGAACAGGTGATTTTGTGTTGGAGATGTCAAACTAGGTTACTTTGCTTTGTTCGTTTGTGTGTTCGCTTGTGTTTCGACTTAATATTTTGACATCTCGGACGTGAAATTTCTAGTGCTACTACCATGTAGATAATTGTACCATGGTTAGAAGTGTGGAGTATACATATAGTCGTATATGTATATATAATCGTTTAAAAAATCGTTGTCCATTTCGCGACGCCCTTTGCGGACCGGCGACTTATGGCTTACGGACCGGCACCGGTCCGCGGACCACCACTTTGACGAGCACTGTTCTATACCACATTTCCAATGTTGGACAACTTGCTCAATCATTTTGCAGCATCAAGGGTGCCTCAGCAAAAGGAATTGCGTCTTTTCCACCAGAAAAATAAAATCTATTACATTTTAAGACTTCTGCCAAAGTAATTCGGAAAAATATAAAGATTTACGTGAGCTGGACCGATTTGAAAAGATATCTAAAAATCTCTTAATTTTGATTTCATTAATTAAATTTTTAAACATTTTTACAAAGACCTTCTACGCTTACACTCTTCTTTCTTCTGAAGTGATTTTTTGGAAAAAAAAACATTTTTTCAAACTAATTTTAAAACCCGCTTTTCGAAGGTATTTTCAGTAAATCACGTAAATCTTAATATTTTTCAGAAATATTTTGACGGAAGTCTTTAAATATAATAAATTTTATATCTCCGGTGGAAAAACAGTACCAATTTTTTTATATGGAGAGTGATGCCCCCTAATATACATACATACATAGTTGCTAGATATAATTCGTGTGCGGGCTTCTATCTAAACTAGGAGGGTTGAAATTTAACTGAATTTGGATAGTTTTGACCACACCAAGGAACGAAATAAAAAGGGCCAACGTTTATTGCAGAGGGCCTAGAGAGAAACTATTTTTCGAAAGAGTTACAAAATGGTCGGAGACAACGTTGATTTTTATTAAAAAAGTTTATTCACTGACTGATAAAACTGCCCTAGTAAATTTTAGAGGTTTTGCTGAATGAATTTCGCTATAAGCTCCAGTATACACATTTGGGTCTTGCTTTTTGACCATAAAACTAGGGGTATTTTGAACCCTTTGTTATTTTTCGTATTTATTTTTCGATAATTTGGAATAATTTTATGTTTTTAGAGTTTGGGATTTTTTGGGGAATTCTGAACTTTGTGTTAACTGTTTTGATTTGTTCGGACTGTTGAGGACTTTGTGTTAACTGTTTTGATTTGTTCGGAACTGTTCAGGACTTTTTGAGCAGTTTTTCGGTATTTCGATATTTTGGATCTTTAGTAATTTTTTGGGACTTTTCGGAACTGTTTTTGATTTTTTTTCGGGGTTTAATGGATAATTCGGGATTTTCGTCACTTTTCGTCACTTTTTGCGGCTTTTTAGTTTTTGGTTTTGGTAAAAAAATTTTGCTTCGTATCATCAGTTTGTGGTCTTGGAGGGACTTTTGGTAAATTTTCTGGATTTATTCGTAGGTTTTTGTTTCAAGGTTTTTGACATTTTCTGATTTGTTTTAGATAGACCAGCATTTTTTCATGACTCAACGGGTTTATTCGAATTTTTTTAGGTTGTTTTGCAAATTTTTGCGGGACCTTTCGTTATTTTTCTGTTTTTTTTTTGGAACAAATCGGCATCTTTTCATAACTTTTTGCAACTGTTAGAGACTTTCCGTATATTTTTAGACTTACCCGGAGCTTCGCTTGGTATCTTCTAATCTTGCTAATTTGTTGCTTTACATAACTTTTCATGATAGTTCGCTACATTTTCTGGCCTTACGGGACTTTTCGTGAGTTGTTTTTGGTATTTTTCGCAATCTATGGGGTCTTTTTTTTAGTGTTAGTATAATTTACCTATGGAGATTTTTGATACTTCCGTCAAATTATCTTTATTCATTTGTGACTTTCGACTATTCCCAGTTCTTCGAATTTTTTGAGACTATTTGGGATTTTTGTTCTTTCTTTAAACACTATCTATATATTTTAGAAATTTTTACCATTAATCTTCATATTTAGATTACATTTTAGAATTTTTTTTTGATTTTCCACGATTGTCTGGATTTACTAGTGGCTTCCTGCAATTTTTTTGTTTTTTTTGACGTTTCGGGACTTTTTCTGGACTCATTAAACTTTTCTTAATTTTTAGATTTATATAGACTTATTATTCATTGATTTATAGACAATTTTGCTTAATTTTTAGCAAAATTTCCAAAAAAAATGTTGCTTTAGCCACAAACAGCAATATGAAAAAATTAGTTTAATCCCGTTTCTTTTCATGGACGTCAAATCGTATGGACTCTGCTTATCTAAATTGAATAATAAATACAAATTTGATTTAAAATTTTAGTAAAACTTTGACCTATGCGTTACATACATAATTAGTGTAATCATAAGTTTAGCTATATCTCAAAAACTGTTCTACATTTTCATATTTTGACTTCACAGGGCGGATTTTTTGCCGACTAGCGTAATTTTTCTTACAAAAAAAAAAACAAACACATTTTGTGGTATTTATTCAATAATTTTTACTTTTTCTTACAGCTCACCCATTGTGCCAACATTTTCATTTGGTGAAGTGGAAATATTCGATCAGGTGAATAATCCACCAAATTCATGGCTGCGACGTTTCCAAACATTGACCAAGCGCTTAACCGGCATTTCGCCTTTGATTGTATTGGGTCGAGGTTTCTTTCAATACACTTTCGGATTTCTGCCACGACGCAAGCATATCGTACAAGTTGGTGAGTGAAAATAAAAAAAAAATTCGAAATTTACTAATTTTAACTAATGTCTACTAGAATACTAAATTTAATCAAATTTCTTTAACTTTGCAGTTGGCACACCCATCGAAGTGGAGAAGAATGATGAGCCTGACCCAGAGTATGTGGATAAAATTCATCAACAAGTTATTGACCAGCTGAAAACGATGTTTGACAAATACAAGACAAAATATATAGAAAATGGCAAAAATATCAATTTAGTTATAAATTAGGAGTGTAATTATTTAGTGATATTTCGTTTAATAGTTAAGTTAGCTGTATACAGTTTTGTGTGTGAAAATTGTAATTTTTAAGTGTTATATACTATTCTGATATGTACGTGTATGTATGTATGTAAATACTATGTACTTATGTACATACATGAGATATAAACATTTTCCACTAAGTACATTGTTTCTGTTTTTGCTTAAGAAGTTCTTATCGACTAGCTGAATAGAATGGAATGGAATGTAATTGTGGTAGACCGGTAAGGCCAAGTCGATTTCGCAAACACTCAGGAAAATTCAGGTGGGCGTGGAAAATCTTTACTGCTCTGCAAACTTATCAGACTCTGATGAAGCGTATTAGTTTGTCGAGGGAAAGATACCCTGCAAAAATAGTGTACTGTCATGTGTAATATCCATGGATTGTTTTCCGTAGTCGTTCTTACCAGGGCTCGTAGCATATTTCTTCCCAGCCGGAAGCGAATTGCGTCTGCTTTTCATTTAACGAAGTTTTGATAAACAAATTTCACATAGCCGCTCTCATTGAAAACTTTCCACACATTTCGATTCAAAAGTCAATTTATGTTGTTTTTACCATTTTTATTTTTAATTTTTATTTTGATTTCGTTTGGTTTAGGTTTTTAATTTAATTTTAAATTTTATTTTATACTTATTCATATTTTCATTTAATTTATTTTTTAACATTTCCGATCCTTAACTTAATTCATACTTTTTAACATCTAAATTTAGACTCTTTTTTATTTAATGTAAAAATGAACAACATTATTTTTTTATTGAAAGTATGCTATAAATACGCTGCATAAATAAATTCATGCCTAAACGAAAAAAATTTGTCGTTAGTAATTTACAAAGAGAGGGCTTCAATGAGTTTTAAATAGTACATAGGTAGTATTTAGTAGTAAAGTTTTCACAGGAGTGGATTTTAATTATACAAATGCATTTTGTGCAGTGAAAGGTTTTGTGCATAAATATTTTTTATTCTTAAATTTTTTTTTGCACACGTCATATATTAGGCATATGACTTTTCTTTAAAGAAATATACCTATGAGGAGAGAACGAGAAGTCAACAAAAATAACGTTTTTGTAAAAAAACATGCATACGTATGTATATACATATATAAAGTTACATTTTAACCGAATTAGGATTGCGATCCAAAAATAGTTTTAAAATTTTTTTATTCCTTTTTTTTGATTCAGTTGGTTTGAAATTTTCCGTATATGTACGTATGTATATATAAAGTTTTCACTATACAAGTATATGGAAAATTCCAAGTCCACTGAATAAAAAAAAAATTAAAAAATTAGAAGCAAATTTATGATCGCAGGCATAATACGGTTGACATTGATTTTTCCATACACATTTTTTTTTTCTTTTTCAGGAACTGCGGGAACTTTTTGTCCCAAAGTTTGACAAAGGCGTATTTTTTGTTGGTTTTTCATAATTCCTTATTCTCTCCTCCTAAGTACATTAATTTAAAAAAAGTCATATACATAATGTAAATGTATACAAAGCTGTTTGAAAGCCATATTTAGTTATTGAAAAATTTTAAAAAATATTCGAGTAATATACGAGCTCTTAAGAATCTTCACATTGATTATAAAGATCTACGGTTTCATGGTTTAAATCGCTGTGCCAAAAAGTTTCGTTAGCCGTCTCTAATAGATTTGCCTAAAAAATACAACGCATCTAAAGGTTTTCATAGACCTGTAGGGGCATAAGCTCTTAACTGCAGTTAGCATTCCTCCGGTTCCGCTGGATATAAGTGAAAGCTTGTACAGATATATCGGTGGTCCAAAGTTTTTTTTTCTTGGTAGCCACCCCGCAGAACTGAAAAATAAGCGAAAATAAGGAGACTAGCATTTTCTGTTTTGAAATCGGTTAACATTTAACCATGCCGCCGGGCTTTGAAGTTTTCCATATATCTACATCTATATGTATTTCATATGCGGAAAATACATTTTTCATTCGATAGGAAAGTTTTTATTTTTAAAGATTTTATATTTTCAAGCATATGGAAAATTTCAAAACACCGGCGGCACTGTTTAATATTAACACCTTATCTTCCATTCTCTTTAATTATGGGGTATGGAAGAAAGAAATTTCCAAAAAGTTCATTTTCATGTGTACTTTGGGCCCCCCTAATGTATATAATATTTTATTATTATATTGTTCCCTTAGAATATAATTGCCGATATTTATTTCAAAAAGAAAAAGTATATTGAAAAATTATAACTCCAATTTCTTCAATGGCTTGCAGATTTAGCCTTCAAAGCACTTATTTTTTGCATAAATGCATAAATTTTATATACACTACTTTATTTACTTAATTACTATTGACTTCTAATTGCAGTTTTATGTTACTTTAGTTTTTTACCAACCTTAATTTACCGTAAGTGACTTTATCATTCTCATTTAAATCTTTTTAAGCTTATATGTATGTACATACATATGTATTTTATGACTTATTTATTATTACTTAAAATTTCAACAAATTCGTTATTAATACTCGCCTCCTCGTTTTCGTAATAATTGTTGTATCTAAGAATTTGCGTTTTATTTTTTTATTTTTATGTTCGCATGTATTTTGCTAAGCTCAATTTATCGTTAGTTCACACCGTCGCACAGTGGTCTGAATACAGCATCTAGCGGGACAAAATTGTTTGAACTGGTTCGCGTTGATGGATTTGTACACCACTTTGTATCCACTTGTTTATGGGACCACTGATTACAAATCTTTAGTCAAGTTTCAAAAATCCAATATGGCGGATCCAATATGGCCGACAAGCTTTTCAAAATTGATTGAATTCGCTCGAAACTTGTTACTTCGGGGTTTTTGGGGTCGCTCATTATGAATCTAAGCAAATTCAAAATGGAGTTTCAATATGGCGAGCGAAAAAAAAAAATGAATTCGGTCGAAACTTCTACTCGCAGCTTCTTGGGGTTGTTGCCGCTATATTTGGGAAACCATTCTGAATATTTAAAACAATTGTATGGGTGTCGTGAAAGCGCCCAAAAAGAGTATATTTTACCTTAAAGCCAACACTTCACAGAATTAGTTTTTATAAATTTCAAGTCGAAACTCAGCGAAACTATTTAGTATTTTTCAATTTGAAAATACTATTAAAATAATTTAAAGTTCAACTTTTCACGTTGAACTTACAGGGCTATAAAAAAAAATAATTTACTAAATCTAAGAATTTATGAAATCACTTCTTTTCGCAAGAAAAAAAATTGCAATAGAAGCACCGTTACACTTAAAATAGCTAATCGAAATCGCACAAAAAAAAAAGTTTTCCTGCTACAGCTAACTGACTTGCATCGACTAGCCACTTATAAGCTTAATGTATTTATATTTTTTTTAATGAAAGATTGATTTTGACACATGACTTTGATTTTTACATTTTGTCCCGCTAGTTATCCGACCTGTATGCGTCGGAAATAAACTTTAACAAATATTATTACTAGTGACATATACTTATTTACATTGTATGTAGTATGTACTATGTGTCTATACAAAAAAGCCAGCGAAGTTCTAACTGTAAAATGGAATCGAGTTAATATATTTTTTTTTAAGTTTTCTAAGTTTTTTAAGGTTTAAGCAGATATTCTTGCTGCACTAGTAGTATCTAAAAGTTAGAAGCTAATGAGGACTTTTTATATCAGCTGCTTTTTCGAAACAAACGGTGGCATATCCATAAGCTGAGTTTTCAAATGTTGTACCGGTAGATGAGCGCAAATGAATTTTCAAATAAAAATTTCAATATTATTTACCAAAACAAATTTTATAACAAATGAACAGCTTTCGCTAACTTCCTGAAATTTATCAAAATTAATTTGAGGTTTTGTAACCTGCTATAAAATTTGTATATTTATTGCTTTTATCATAAAAAATAAAATAGGTGTAAAGAGCTCAATAAAGAGACATTTTCATAAAAATTTTCAATTTATAAAGCAGTCAAGGTCTTCTTTATTTTTTATGAATTCGGGTGTTAGTATATTCTTATAGTAGGGGTCTTCCCTTAAACTCGTAAAAGCCTCGTAAAGCTCGTAAATTTACGAGCCTCGTAAAAAACCTGTCAAAATTTGTATGGAGCTCAATTAACGAGCCCCTCGTAAAATTACGAGGCAAATTTGTTGCGCAAACGGCCTCGTAAACTTCAGTGTTGCCGAGGGGTCGAAATTTTTATACTAAAATATATGGTAAAATAATGAAAATAAATGAAAAAAATAATAAGCAAATCAAATGAATGAATTTCATCCACTATCTGTATTGACATAGGTTATTTGATAATTTTCGGCGTTTTTAATTGTATTTTAGCCATAGTGATAGAGACCAGACGGCGGGATGTTATGGAAACCAAACAAAAATTGCTTCACTGATTCCTGGTTAATCTGTCAAACAGTCACTTAACGCACTTATTTACACCTTTCACACAGGGGGCGTTCCCTTCAAAAGCCTCGTAAACTTGCGAGTTTTACGCCGTTTAAGACTTTACGAGCTTAAGGGAATCCCCTAAGTATAAATACCTACATACGTTAGGTGTACCCAAAAATATGTAACGTTTCTATAGAAACACTACCTCTCTCCTACATGCAACTGCAGCGGAATTTTGGAAATATTTTTTCAACATATATCGTGAATAACATACTAAAATAGTATGCACTGAAGTAGACAAAGGCATAAAATAAATGTTCGGAAAAGTGGAAAATTTTTGGAATTTCTCAAAAGTGGTAATATATTTTAGAATTCTAAGAATTTTCTAGCTTATACACAAGTACCATGAACACAAGAGTTTTTCGATAATATGTGATGTTTCTCATCTTTACATTTTAGGATGGATTTCAGAATAAATAAAATTTTCAAAATTTTGGAAAATATAAGAAAAGGTGATATCGAGGATATACTTTCCGAAGAAGTAAAAAATTTAGAGATAAAAAACGTGCTGTATTGTAAACATTTTGCATATGTTTTAGCACACAAAAAAAAATTACTGATCGGAGTTGCCGCCATTAAAAAAAAATGATTGAGTAAAATAATTAAGTTAATTATTAGAGCAAGTATATGTCCATATTAAATGAGACTAATTGAATTCGAAAATATTTTCAAATTGAGTTGCCACCTATATTAATAATACAGCACCAACAAAAAAAATATATTTTTTGTCTAGCCAACCAGATTGGTCAAATCACATGGATTTTGTGTCAAGAATCAAATATTTCCATTCTAACTTCACAAAAAAATTCAGCTTAGTAAATTATGTTCCAAGCGCACCTAATTTTTTTTTGTCAACCATAGGACGGTATAAAAGCTACACAACGCCAAAAATTTGTTATAAGTGACTTTCGTTTTCATATGATTTGTTTAACTATAAAGTCGTGCGAATGTCACATCCGATATCATGGAAACACGCATTTGCATTATGTACTTTATAAGATTTATCATATTCTAGATATGGAGATAATATGACGTATTCGAAATAGCGGCTATTTCTAAAGTTGAGCGGATTTGTTCAAATTTTGGTACTCGGGGTTTTAAAGCTTGCTGATTACGAATTCGAAGTTAGTTTTCAGATGGCATTAAGATTCCTGTGAATTTCCTTAAGTTTAGTTAGTTAGTAAGTTAGGAGTAGGGTTAGGGTTGCCAGCTGTCAATATATTTAAAAATATTTAATAAAACAGAAATGGATTTCTATTTTTCCAATCAAATTTATCCGTTATTTTATGATTTTTTATTTCGCTAAAAAATCGCGTTGATTTTTAATAATTTTTTTTTTTGGTGACGGCTTTTGCAGTTTTTTTTTATTTATATAACAAGTCCAATTTATAAAAACTCGCCTTAGTTTTCTAAATTTTGTTGCGAACGGTCATACGCATTTTATTTCATAAGAAATCCGTGCTTGTATGGAAAAAAGGCACAAAATCCGCTCGGAAAAAAAGTAATTAAAAAAAAAATAAAATATTTAAAAATTTACCTTAAGAAAAATTGTGTATACATATTTAAAAAAAAACAACACGTGGACGCTGTTTATTTAGATAGAATATAGAATACATAATATGCAACAAATATCAAAGGAAGGAAGCGAAAATTTATTTAAATCGATTTGCTGCCAACATAAAAATTTAATTATTGATTTATATAAAAAATTAAAATATTACAATGTGGTTATCGAACAAAAGTAGTTTCATTGCTAAATACTCTTTTACATAGATTTTTTTTTTTAATTTCAGTTATTTTTTATGTACGTATGTCATTTGCGCTCAAGGTCATTAATTGTACAAAGATTAGCACATTTTTAAGCTAAAGTTAGTTTTGCATATTTTTTTTTATAAAGATATTTATTTATAGTATGTACATAATGTACTATATATCTATAGCTAGCAAGGAACAAGTTGTGTTTCGGCTTATTTAATCTACCTTGCAGCAGTTTGCTTTAGATAATAGAAAGTTCAAAAGCCTACAATAATTTGGTAATTTTTCATTGAGTTATTTATTTTTTATTAAATATTTAACTACATGTTTTTTTTGCTACATTTAGGCAATACTTTGAATGCATTTGGTGTTTGCAGGTACTTTCAGAGAATTTTAATTGGACCTAATTTTTCATTTATATACATAATTTCTTTTTTATTTTATTTTTTCTTTTAACGTGCACATTATCATTAAAATTAAGTGAATACATATATAGTCTGTTTTTACGAATGGCAGGTATAGGAACGCATAAAAATAAGTATGTAAATAGTATTTTACAATATCATTTTCATGTTTGAAAATTTTTTGTTCGCAATTGCATTTGTTAGCAGTTTTTAGTTTTTCTGAAGACGCTTCCAATTTCAGCCCATGATATACATACATACTTTATGTTGTAAGTATTATATTGATATACAAGACTTTCTCGTGATATTATTTGGAATTTTTGAGGCTTTTCGAAAATTTTTGGGTTCGGTTCAACGGGGCATTTATGTAAATCGCAACTTTCCTTTGTGTAAGTGCATAAGAAATATATCGCACACCTTCTTTTTTTTTTTGATTATAACAAAAATTTGCTCCAGCTTTTGCTGAAAGGTAAATAAAAGCTCTGCGCACATTTTTAGCGCATAATTTCGAAAGTGCTAAATTTTAAGTTTTGACTCTTTTCAAGACGGTGTGCGGTATGCCCATATGTATGTATGTAAGTATGTACAAATTCAAAATTAATTTTATTAATATTTTTATACTAAGAAAAAGTTATCGGGAATTCTTTTATTTATATGATTTGAAAATCTCTAAAGTTTGTTGCATAACTTTGCATTTGAGAATTGCGTTGGAGTGATCGATAGTTGAGTATTTTTAAATAAGTATGTACAGTAGTACCACTTTATAAGCAAACAGTCTGGTGGGTAAGTACTAGAATGGAGTACTTGAGGCCAATGAACTTTGCGATAAAAAACATCGACGTATCATTCTTTAAGATCCGACTGTAATTGCCGATAATATGACGAAAAAACTAAACAGTCGGCAAAAAACTTGCTTAAAAAAAATGATGATTTGCTATGAGTGCTTTCAAATTAAAACCAAAAAGTTCGTGGTTTAAAAATCAAACCATCAGACTGAGCTTGAAATTTAATTATTTAATTATGAAAAAGCTTTCGTGAAGTGTAAAGTGAAGCAAACGAAATAGAAAATGTTTGGGTTTAAAATTTAAACCGAACTGTGTGTGCTCTCTTTTTTTTTAAACTTGGAAGGTTTGTATTTGAAACTAAATTTAGTTTGGTCATATATGTAGTCCAAAAAGTTTCAAATTAAAACCGAAATTTTTAACCGAGTATCAAGCACCATTTCCAAACTATGTATTTGAAAAGAATCAGTTTTCAGGGCTTTTCGACGACGTTAATTACAAATCCATAGCCAGATTAAAGAAATTCAAGATGGTGAATACAAAATGGTGAACAAAAATGCATGTAGTCCTTTTTGGAAACATTGGCCAGCCATTTTTTCGGCCATTTTTTTTCTACTAAATTCATATCGCAGGGTCCGTGAAGTTTCATTATACCAATTTTCAGCTTGATTCGGCTAACCGTTTGCGAGATATTGAATTTTTTCCGCTTTTCGTTGATATGGAACCACTGGTGCGGCGTAATGTATATGTATGTGTACTAAATGCTTGAAACTGCATGTGTAGAAGCCTGAGAATTTAATTTAGACTAAAAAATGCATGTACGAGCATGCAATTACTTGCTTATGCGATAAAACCCATTTCGGGTTGAATGTAACCAAAAACTGATAGTAAATCCAGCAAAGACCACTATAGTACCGTTATTAAAGAAATATATGTATGTATGTAGGTTTGATACCCTGATTACGATAAGACTAATATTATGAATCAAAAAGAGTTAAAATTTCTAGGAGTAATACTAGAAAAAAAAATTACTTTGGTAAAACGACGTGGAAGAAAGCTGTAAGAACGTTCATGGCGTGTAGGTCCATAGCAGGAAAGGGCTGAAAGGTGATAGTCGACCCATGGACAATTGGGACAAAAAAGCGCTTACCAAGGTACAAAGGCTGGCATGCTTATACATAACTGGAACTTTGGGAAGTTGTCCAAACCGCATCCTTGGAAGTTTTTCATATACAGTTTCAGGTGAAAAGTGCTCTGCTAAGGATGACTGTTACCAACATCGGGACAGAAGAATTTCTTAGTGGTAGAAAGATTGATATTTTGACGAGACAGAGCCCCAAAATTTGCAATACCTAGATATGCCATGCATCCCAAGTTTAGCTTTACAAAGAGATTTAAAACTACCGGAACCAGAACCTTGCAATCTTGAGTAAGAGGCAAGCGGTTATTAAGGCACTCAGATCTCATCATTTAACATCTAAACTGGTGATGGCGTGCCTTGATAAGCTAGATACTATTGGAGTTTGGGTTATTTGGATTCTGGGGCATACGAGATAGCCAATAAATTTGCAAGGAAATAAGCATCAACCCCCTTCCATCGGCCCAGAGCTCCTATGTGGCATAGGAAAGGAGACTCTCCCTGCCTTGTTCCGGGTGGAGAAAGAGAATTAAGAATTTTGACCGGAATTCTGAGAGGAAATTGCAGGCTGAACTTTCACCTGACCCACCTTAGTGTTCTCACGCAGGAACAATGCAGATTTTGCAGACCTTATATCGAAACAGAACGACACATCTTGGAAAGGTATACTGCACTGATGCACAAACGAAAAATACACCGATGGCGTAGTAAAATCCAAAGGTTTAGGTTCGTTGTGCTTTTTCCCCGACCGCCCTCAGCTTGCATAAGCTTATTTTAAATCCGGTTGCAAACTTTTTCTAATTTTTTTGAAGTGGACAGAGTACATAGAAGTCCTCTCTGATAGTCATCGAGAGTCACGACCAACACATATACCGCGGAAAAAGTTTTTTTTTTAAGACTTCTAGTTATACAATTCAAGGGCACGCGCTGAGGGAAAAGAGCCCAGTCTACAACAGATAAAAAATATAACTTATACAAAAGCTAATAATAAAGAGAAAAATAAGAAAGTATTAGTGAATTGAGACATAACCAGTGTAATGAAAAACCCGTGTTATAGTTTAGTATCTTTATTATTTTTTATTTTTTTATTTAATTTTTTTATTTTATTGAATAACTTGTAAATAAAACAAATATTAAGTAATATGCACACAAATAATTAAAGTACTAATGTAATACGTATACTAAAGAATATAAATTATAAAAAAAAAAAATTGCTCATTCACCAATGACTTATAGCCACGCTTGTCGAACAGAAAAATGTAAAAAAAGTAAATAAATCATTTAGAATAATTTTTGTTAATTTTCTTGAATCTTACATAACTGCATTTTTAAAAGGTACATACTAAAAAATTCAATGATTTTTTATTATTATTTTTTTTTTTGGTTCAGCACAGTGACTGCAGATAACGTACGGTCAAATGATTTTTTCTAGGCTTAATAGTTTGTTCGAACTAACTTTATAGCAAAAGACTAGTTTTGTATATGTATAGTTTAAGATGGTATATATGTTTGTATGTATGCGCTCATAGTTGTTTACTGATTTATGCAAAAGTATAATTGATTTCTTTAAAGTCGCTGTTGACATGCTGTTGATTTTTTTTTTTGTTAATTTTACTTTCTCTAATACAAAATTCGGTATATGTTTCAAATAACAAATATACATACATATTACATATTTTATAATTATAAAAATAATTGCATTAACAATAACAATTACATACTGCGAATATACAATACAATATAATGTATGGATGTAATAATTTATGTATTTATGTTTGTAAGTCAAATAGCTATTTAATACGGGCACATCTATGCATTTACACATGTAAGTGTGTGTGTGTGTGTGCTTGTATGTACATGCGCGTGTAATCCTTTTTTGTTTTTTTTTTTTTGTTTTTAGTTGTAAATAAGTGCAGTTATTGCTAGATCAATTTTTAAATCGTTCCTAATCGACCGAATTGTTCTAATTAACTATTCTCATCATAAGAACATTTTCTGTTAGTTTTTGTTTTCTTTGTTGTTTTCTTTTTTTATTCATAGCTAAATATATTTTTTTCAGCATTTACAATATCAGCTCATTATTTATAATTATTTCTGCGCTACATAACTACTGTACGTTTCAGTTACTAATTGAAATTTTTTGTTATTGAAAATCTAGTCTGCTAATTAGTATTTAATTTATTTTTTTTTCGCAAAAATTAACAGTTTTTATAACAAATACTATCTCGTTACATCATTACAATAATTTTACAAGTTTACTGATTTTATTATAAATTTTCTTGCTATATGTGTGTGTGTGTGTGTGTGTGTGTGTGATACATTCATGCATGTATATAGCGCATATAAAATGCATTAGTTAACCTATTTCTTTTTTGTATATTTGTATGTAGAATATGTATCTATGCATTTCATATAATTTCATTGACAAAACGTATGTATGTTTGTATGTTTGTATGTATGTTTAAATGTTTAGTATGCTTGTATGTTAAGTATTTATATAGCGATTTTTTTTTTGTCAGTAGGTACAACATTCAGCGTATATTATCAGATTGTTAGTCACGGAGTTCCTTAATTTACATTTTTAATAATTTCGTATGTATTCAACTATTTACGACACTATGCTTTTATTGTTGTTGTACTTGTTGCCATTGCTATGCTTTTTAGCCTGGAACATGAATCGACTAAATGGCGATCATTGTCATCTATGACGGTGTGGGCATTGGCGTAAAGTAATGCAGGCCATTGATCTGGAAGAAAAGAAAAATAAGAAATGGGGTCATTAAAAAATTAATAGTAAAAAAGAATTTACAACAACTTTCTTAATATGAACGAAATTCGACCATAAATATGGGTTTTCAAAATATATCAACCCTGTGCCACCTAGCGGATTAATCCAGCTTTCATATTGTAATGTTATCGGGTTCTGAGCTAAGTTTGAGATCTGTGACTCATCCGGAAGTTGGTTAAATGTGGATTGTAAGATTTGACCAAAAAAAAACATACAAAAATAGATTGGTATGCACATTAGCGCGGAGTAGTTTTATTTTCGAAAAACATTGTATGGCATACTCAAATTCTTCATTCGATTCTAAGCAGAATGATGAACAAACTATAAACCAAAAAATGATGTTTGGCCCTCCCAATTTTTAAAAGAAGAATCAGTGCACTACTGCCTTTTCTTTCGAAAATCGGGAAGGTCAAACTTAATTTTTGGTATACAGTTTGTTCACCATTTTTGCTCAGAATTAATCGTAAAATTTGAATTTGCTATAAAATTTCATCGAAAATTTTGATCCAAACAAATTACTTCGCCCGAATATACATATGTGCGTACTTAAAATTCTTCCTTTCCTAAAACTTAAAACTACGACTAAACCAATGTGAAATTGATTTTTTCATTTAATTTATGTTTTTTTTTTTGTTACTTATTTTATAAAACTTTTTTAATTTTGGTAGTTTTTTATATTTTGTTTTATTTTCATTTGTTTATTTTGAATTAAACTCATTTTATTTAGTAATTTTTTTACATTTATTTTACTTTCCTTAACTTAATTCAATTAAATATTTTTTAATTTTATTAAAAAAAATAATTTCAGTTTTTCTAGTAAATTGAATCTTATTTAACTGAGTCTAATTCAGTTTAATTCTAGTTTATTGTTAGTTATTTTAATACAGGATTTTCATTTAATTTAATTTTAATTTATTTTATTTTATTTTATTTTCGCGTTATATTTTATTACATTATATTATATTATATTATATTTTATTTTATTTTGTTTAATTTAACTTCATTAATTTAATCGATTTCTCATTTCATTCTGAACATTTTTGTACCCATTTGTCATATCTATCTGAGTTCCTCAGTAAGTTAGAGTACCCTTGTGTACAAGTACGCTTTGGTATTAAAATACATAACATTCGAAAACTAGAACAATTCTTTAACCTGAACAAGTCTGGTTTTCATTAGTTTGATTTATCGCGAGTGTACTGTATTAACAATGAATCACGCAATTAGTGTGATCAGTAACGAGGTGATGACTCATCACTAAGTACTTTAGTCGCAAACTTAACAAGTCGTAAACTAAATGCTTACTAGCCTCTAAATGAAACTTAAATCTAAATTTCGCTTTAGCACTGCATCTTCACTTACCGTCATATCGTATTCGGTGATGTATGCGGGTATCTCTAATTGATCCTTGGAAATGGCCGAGTATAAATGCTCGACACCAGGAAGTGAGTGTACCTTGGCTTTGATGGCGGGCGCCATGAATGTCGTGAACCACCAGGTCATCATCTGTTCAACAAAAAAAGTTTCATATAAATATAAATATTTTGTGTGTTTTTCAGTTAAATTTTATCAGGAAACCCACCTTGGTCCAGAATGTTGGGTGTACAATATAGAAGGCCTTCAGATTTTTCTTGTACCTTAAATAATTAAGAGGGAATAAATATTAGGTTGGCAATTTAATGTTCCAGATAATAATAATTGGTTCCTTACTCGTATGCTCTAGTAAATATAAATTAAATAACCTAAGACGGGATTCAGAACGCAATTATAATTCAAAAGTATGCGTTTTTTTTCCTTCCAACTTTAACGATGATGATATTTTGATACATATATACGCAATCGGATTTTTGAGGTTAGTAGGAAAAAACCAGTTCGTTTTTGGATTCTGACTTTATATTCAGATCAGCTGCATCAAAAGCTATGTATACGTATCTATTAACTGGTCTGAGTACCGTCTAAATTCATTTTGAAAAAAAAAAATAAAAATGTTTCCATTTGTACTCACTTGTATGGTAATATACTGTAGACTTCACGCAACCAGTGAAGCGATGGATAATTGTTTGTTGAAGTCAAAGTATGGAAGTACGCAATTACATAATCGCCTTTAACGATGGGATCCAAAAGTTTAATCAAATATAAGAGTGCCTGGAAAAAGAAAAAAATTGTCGAGTGAAAAATTTCCAAATTTGAAAGTAGATATGTGTATGTATCTGCAACAAAAAAAGCTCGACCAACCTTCTCCAAATCGATGTTGTGAGCTGGGAACCATTTGCCGCAAAATACGACGACTGGTCGTCCCAAGCGATCGACACCGCTCTGATATAGGCAACCAATGCCGGACACTTCTGTAAGATCTTCGATTTGAGCGCGATGCAAAAGGCGTTCATATCTAGAAAGAGAGAGAAAGAAATTAACTATTTGGTCATTGCTATAAGGATAATGTACCATATAATATTTGTTTTATTTTTACTCATTTATAACAGCCGTAATTAAAATGGCTATTCTAAGAACTCATTCATCCAGAATTGTCAAATAAAAATCAACAAGATACGAGAATTAAAAAAGAAAACAAAAACATGTACACATATGCAAATATTCATTATAATTCATAGCTAGAATTATTTGCAATTGTTGGACATTTGTAAACAAATTCATTTCTGTATGTACATATGTACATAGGGAGTTGTATTTGGAAATAAATTTCAATCAAAAGGTAAACCAGACTGTTGAATTGCGAGAAAACACTTTAGATTAAATTCTAAATACGTATTTACATTCATATATCAGTGTTATGTTAGGTATATACCTACATACATTAGGGTGCCTCATCAAAAAAATTGCGTTTATTTCAAAGGAATTTATTAAATTTTAAATACGAAAATCTCATTACTGTGATTTCGTAGACAAAATTCTTAAACAATTTTATGCAGCGCTTTTAAACTTAAATTCTTCTATCATCTAAAATAATTTTTTGCAAAAACTAATTTTAATGGGTCCAGCTTAGCTAAATGTCCATATTGTTCGAAAATATTTTGGCGAAATTCTTAAAAAATAATACATTTTGTAATTCCGATTGAAAAACAGTATCGCCTTTTTTGTTTGTATGCAGTGATGCATCCTAATATATGTACCCATGTTTGAAAACAAGTTTTATATATATATGCACATATACATATGTATGTATGTATATACAAAAATAACACTGAAGTGCTAGTTTCGATATTCGCAGCTACATACAACTGCACAGCATTACAACCGTTTTAAAGCAGATACTAATCAAATTAGGAAGTAATTTGTGGGAATGTGGAAAATAATGAAAGAAAAATGAATTGAATGAAGTAAAGTTATATGGCAAAAAAGAAATATTAATAACAAATAAAAGAAATTAAAATGGGGAAATATCTCGAAGTTTTATGTCAGTAGGACGTTCGTTAACATTCGATTTGCACTTGCTATTACTCATAGTATGTTTGTATTAGAAATATGTAAAAGCACTTTTCATCGTTTTTCGACCGTTAGTGCAAGTTTAGCTTCCTTTTTCAACTGAAGATAACGTCATTGATCTTCTAATACCGGTATGTGCATGTTATGGTTTGCAAAGAAATTCAAATTTTCATGCCAAGCTGGTATTTAGGGGAATTTTACTTAATAACTATCAATATTAAAAAAAAAAATTTAGCTGACGAAAAAGGCGTCGTCTGGTCCTTCAGAGAAGGTATCAATCAGTGCATATGTACATTTCTTCTTAAGCAGGGATCACACAATTTGTGCATTTGCACATTTGGCAGTCACAGAGTGGTATTGTCTATAAATTTTTATCGAGAATGAGTTCAGCTCAATAACAACTTTCCACACAACACCGCTCTGTAACGGCGAAAATGGACAAATCTGTACAAATGTACAAATCCTGTGATCCCGCTTTAAACGCTTGCTTAAAACTCTGTGTTAGGCACTTCCTTGAAGAAAACAAATCTTCAAATGTAATGAACAGATCTTTATGGGAGCTCACAATTAATTTATTCTACCGCGTGTCTACCAAGGATCTTTAAGCATTTATTGAACAATCTGTAGAAATTTTTGGCGTTCAGCTTTAGGCACTCATCATTGTGCTAAAATGGGGGTTTAAAGGTCATCAACGCTCATTGTGAATGTATAAAATATTCAAGATAAAAAACTATCAAAAAAGCCATCAAAATATAAAAATGTATGCGTAACTCAAAATATAAGTAGTAAACAAAAATAAATATGTTTTTTGCGTATATTAGTGGAAGGTCAGTCCCAGCACAATGCCGTAACGTCAAATTTTTATCTGTGTACAAACATATACATACATAATATTTGTGCATGTATTTAGCCTTCTTTGTGCATTTATGCCCATCTTAAGTTCTCACATTCATATCTCCGCAGCATTAAAATTTCACAACAGCTGCCGCAGGACACGTCATACATAATTTCTCTGTTCTCTATTCTCAAATTTCTATATTCATACGCTTCTTTATATGCAGTATGCGCAAATTTACTATTGTTAATAATACAAAAAAAAAAACAAAAAAAAAACAAAACAATAAAATATCAAAATCAGCTACTGTTATCACGTTCAGCTTTCATTTTGCTACAATGCGCTGCGCATAGCCGTTCCAACTCGTCGCGCGTTGTCATCCATCCATTCGTTAGCGATTGTTTGAGAAACGTGCCGCAGTGGATGCTTGGCTTAACATACACACACAGATACATACACAAAAGTATACCCTGCAAAAATTGTGTGACTAATCTCTAAAGAGAGAATTCAAGGATTAGTTTCAATCTGGTACAATTGGGCACTAATTAGCCGCAACTAGTCGCATACGGGTATATTTGAAGATCAATTAATGCCGGTTCGAATCACAGCTGGCGCAAATTTTTGTTTTTGATTCTTAAAAGAGACTATTCGCTTTTGGTATACCCGTTTGGGTTTAAAGGGGAACAATTACAGTCAGTCAATAAAGTTTAGGTACAGCGAATTTTTTACAATACGGACAAAATATTTTATTTTTAGCTAATTTTTTATAAAAACATGGTTCATTCTACAACAAAAACTTCAAAAATCTAAATAAAACTAACTAAACTAACTGACTAAAATTGAATGGGCTAAAAAACTGCATACTCAACTTTTTTTCAGAGAGCGTAAATAAAAAGTGCAATATTTGAATGAAATTTTGCGGAATTTTCTTTAATTTCTGGTGTTTTTATTGTAGAATTAACCTTATTAAAAAAAAAAAAATAGTGAAAAATAAAATATTTGAAAAATAGTTGCCGAAACTTTATTGACTGACTGTACGCTCTTCGTAGGACATGCTCGAACAAAATCGGATAGTTCATATCAAAAGTGGTATTAGTCTCATATTTTTATTTATTTATTTTGGATGACGTTATCTGGGTTAATTGATCCTACCTGCAGATTATTGCTCTCGATTTCCCCATTTTTTGCATCTGAAAAAAGTGTGATCGGCATCGTAAGTGCTTTATTACACCTCTTTGCGTATTTAATGTAAATACCGGTTAGTTTCATGATCACTTCTAAGGGAATATGCTTCTTGGTTAGGAGTACTAGCTCGGTTTTCTCTGCTGCAAGTATTAGTCGCATGTTGCCTTGCAATTTCTCCCGGATTAGACGCATCTTTTGCTGGGTATATCGCAAACTACATACATATATACAAATGTATGTATGTACTCGTACTTGACTTCACACATCAGCATTATGCGTTTATAAATCTATCTGCAGCGCCATGTTTGTTTTAGTACAAATTTTTGTTTGCCACTACGAGTATGTATACCCGCTATGCAGTGTTGTATCTAGTTAGTAGTCACACTCTTTATTATAGCCTGAAGATGCGCGCACGCTTTTATCGCTCTTCACAGCGTTAATGATAAGCGGCACTACAACAAAAGCAATAGCTAGCAATTACAAATATACATATCTGCTTTAGCTATAAAGTAAACAAACCGTTAAAGTTAACGGTTGATAAATGCTACTGGTCTTTGAATAACCGAAAATTGTCTATCAAAGTTGTTTTTAAAGTGGGTACGCGTGTGCGGTTCAAGTTGGCTTTAAGCAAAGAGAATCAATGTTGTTTTTTGTTCTGTTGAATATATGTATGTATGTACATTTGTATAGCATTTCGTATAGGATGAATTTTGTTTTTAGTACCGAGGAAATAAGGATTTATAAGTTGTGCTGATGTAACAAAGGGTAAACTCATACGAGCACGTATTGCGTATTAATTTTCAGTTGTTTCCTAAAATGTCACTCATGACAGCCTTTTTCAGATAAAATTTGTTGGATTTCTGGATTGTAAATTGTGACAGTTTGTTTGCCAGTACTATCTTTTAAGCAGCTACTAGCAATAACAAAGTCAAAAATGGTATATGTATATGTATGTATGTAAATAGAATGTGGATGCTTGTGTGTGACATGATTTTCGAAGAAAAATTACTGAAAAATTGCGATTACTCATAATTTTGACTAAAATAACAGCAATACTATTTGCTCCATTGAGAACTATATTATTATTATTTTTATTTTGAGAACGTTAAACACTAAAATTGTTCCTACATCAGTGGTACCTTCGTATGCTAAAACACTTTCTAATAGTTTATCAACTGTCCACCATTCTGTGATCTCTCTAGCGAAATAGCAATTTAGATCTTATTCCAGCCAGCCTGACCAGACGTGGCATGCCATCATTCACTACTGTTCAATAAAGGTATTTTCTAATAAGAGACAATTCCCACATTTACAAATGCTAAATCGCTAAAATATTGTTATAAGAAGAAAGGGAAAAGAACGTTTCTTCTATCAAAATTTCTTAAATAAATTTCTTCAATAAACCAGTCCAAACCATTAAATTAAAAATTTACTGCAAATGGAAAGCACTTTTATAAGTAACAGAAAGAATGAAAAATATTTTTTATGATTTTTCTTGATAGCTGCAAATAGCGCTTAACGATTCATTCAAAAATTTTGGATCCCGTGGACAATTGCGGAACCGTCCTGGTGTCCTTTTCCAATAAACAACAATAAACACACTGAATGATAGTGAGTAGAGTTGAGATTTTTAGTTTATTTTGGCGATCGATCAACGTAGTTCAGATCAATTAAACGAACTACTTCATTTAGTTCATTCTCGTTCACGAAACAGGAAATTTTTTTCGCAGCACAATTATACGTACAGCACATTTTTGAAGAGAAAGGCAGTCAAAACGGTTAAAGTTGGTTGTTCAGAGTTGCGCACGAAGTACAAGAAGGAGCAGACCAAGGTCGTATAGCTCAAAATGGACTAGTGAATTTATGTGTGGAGCAAATTACGGGAGGTGCTCCTTCTAAGCTGTCGATAATTCCAATCAACAACA